ATTGTATCAACGAGGCACTATAGAGCTCCAGAAGTGATTTTAGGTGAGTTAGCTCTGAATATCTTAGTTTTACCAATTTGTTTGCACTGGAAAAAAAAAAAAACACATTTGACCTGAAGTCCAGACTCTTAAAAACATCAACAAGAAAAAGTACTCATGATCCAATCAGAATCTAGCTTAAATCAAGAACCAAGCCTCTTAATTTAAGCGGATTTCGTTTTGATTCAAGCAAAAATCCGATTGAATCAAGAGTATTTTTTCTTGTCAATATTTTCAAGAGTCTGGACTCTAGATCCAATGTGTTCTTTTTTTTCCAGTGTGGCAATCGATCCTAATCAGTGCTTTAATATACTTGGGTATTTATAAATATGGGTAAATAACCGTCTGCCTTAGGCCTAATGCAATTCCTAAGCTTTGTGGCACACTTCGCAAACTTGTTCATGAACATTTTTTTGCTATCTTGCGAAACTGTCGTAAACTTTTTTAATAGGCAAAACTATTCAATGTATTTTTAAATACTCTCTTTATTTTAACCCCTCTCTAAGTGATGCATTTTAGTTGGACATTTAAAGCACAAACAAAGTTAGTCAGAGTTAGCAAATTTTTCTCAGATAAACTTTCTTCAAGAATTCCTGGTCAGTGTGGACCAATTCTTTTTCTTTATTTTATCTCTCACCTTCTACCTGTGGACAAAACTAGTGGACATGTTCAGGGTTTCTGCTCGTGAATCCAAGAAGAACTAAATCCAAATAAAAAGTTTGTTGATGGTCAGGGGTAATTAGTTAGGGGAAAGCAAATAACCTTAGGGAGAAAATCGGAAAATAAGGAAATGTGGGAACGCGGCATGTGGAAACCTTTAAATTTTTAATAATCTAAACTCATCGACTTAACTGATTCATTATATCGTCGCTGGGCTACTGGAAGAGCATAACTAACTACACTTTGAGATCATCCTAGGAAAGCATTGAGTTAAATGGATGACAGGGCTCATTGCAAAATATAGTTATGTCCTTATGTCAGGAGGGTAATAATATGCTCCACTGGAAAGGCGCAGTTAAAGTATGGAAGTTCTATAAACCACTTTGAATTTAAGACAAGAATCGAACTTTTGGGGGAGTTGTTGAATGTGTCAAATAATTTAGCCACTGATTAAATCTTAATCCATAAGAACTGGGCACTGGTTTCCGTATCCACTGCCTACAGATTAGGAAACCGATTCAAACATTGGAACATTCAAGACAATAATAGATAAGCTCTAACTTTCATGTTAATATTTCATTCTTTCTAATGCAAATTACTAATGAGTTTCAAATCCTCATGTTTTACAGAATTAGGTTGGGCGCAGCCGTGTGATGTTTGGTCCATTGGATGTATCATGTTTGAACTCTACTTGGGTATCACTTTATTCCAAACGCATGATAACAGGGAACATTTAGCCATGATGGAAAGAATTTTAGGACCGATTCCATATAGGTAATTTCTGTGAATCTCGTACATTGTGCATGCATGTTCTTGTCTAGATTGTTTTATTGCTGAGGGTCAGAGAATCATTACTAATGTTTGTAGGAAGCAAGTTAATCTCTCTATCAACCAGTCAAGTCGAAATTCTTCCGATAAAAAAATTTGTCGCTGTGTTCA